ATTATTTCTCCAGTAACAAATCTGGGGCTGGTGATGGTCTAAGCTTCAAAATGACCACTTTCAAGGAGCTGCTGAACACATCAAGAAGACCTTCACCCATCAGCATGGCGGAGAAAAGACCACTGATTCCTGCAAGACGAAGTGGGGCAATGTATGTTTGAACAGAATCTAATACTTTCTATTTATTTCTAATATTATATATCTGTAGCTAAAGTCAGCTTATGGTGTTGTTGTCAACATCAAGAAGACATCCAGCTTTTCATGAAGTGATGAACATGGCGCTGGAATTACAGATGAGCATGGAGATACTTGGGATAGATATGCCAAGGTATGTAGTACTACTACAGTATATCAAACAAATAGTCTGCTGATTTTCTTTAACCTTAGGGCCATCCTGGTGCAGCACCATACAAGACTAAAGGGTTCCTGCACTTCAATGCTCTTGACCAGATGATTCCTTAGGAGCTGATCTCTGCCAAGGGAAAGTATACTACCCGTCAGCCAAAGGCCAGGACTCAGGCTGTTCCTGGTCCTTCCCCATCAGAGTCGTCCTCTTTCTGCAATGGAGTCTCCTAGTGGGTACTGGCCTATACCTCCCCAACCATCCACTCCCACTGCTGCATCTGGAATGGAGCCTATGCACTAGCATGCCCTTCCCCCACCATCTACTTCTACCGGCTCCTCCACCAGCGCCGGTGACAGGACCAGATGTCAGTCTTTTGTCACCATCCTCCTCCTCAACTGTACCATTGTACTATGCTACTACAAGCAACTTAGGCTCAGGGCTGACCAGTATCAGCCGGAGCAAGCGCAAATCCAGTGCGCTCAGTGAAGGAGACAAATCCTGCTCTAAGCAGAACCGGCCTCCCTCAGTAACTGTAACAGCCTAGCAGGAGGGTAGTGCAGCACTTACATCAATTGCAGGGAGTCTTCCTCAAATCATTTGAGGGTTGACCATTTCTTTATCTGATCATCCTCCTGCCACTGACCTTGGGCATGCAGTCAGTCTGCTTACTCAGACAGATGGTTTGACTGCAGATGATGTCATGATCCTCATGGACTACTTATCATCAAACTTGAATGAGGCGGTAGTATTTTCCAATATTAGTAGTGCAGAATACAGGGCCTTATGGGTGCAAAGGAAGCTCTCTAGCCTTCGTGCAACCAATTTGTAGAATAGTAGCATCTACTTTTACTTTTCAAGACTTATGTTGCTCACTCTTTGTTTGTATCCCACCTAAACACATGCTGATAAATCAAGAACCCATGTATTATCCTACTCAATTGTCCCCTTGAGTACAAGAAGGGTGAGCACCAGACCAACATGAAATAACTTACTTTGGTGTTGCATCTCTACTTTGAACCAATTTGTGTGATCGACCGCGTTTTTTTTTGCATTCTTGTGGGTTGGACTTGGAGAGCCATCGTGAATTGTCCAAATCACTTGAGGAATCAGAATTTTCAGATTGAGAAAGACTGGGGGATTGCTTGCGATGCACCATAGTGGTTAGAGTTACAAAGTTGCATAGGGCATTACGTGTTATCATACATGTTTTATTTGATTCTGTTGACATGTTATCATCATATTGAGGTGCAACAAGAAATACATTTAATTGTACAATTACAAAGTACTTATCATATACAGACTGCAAAATAACAAATGCAATAGCAAAAAGGCACAGCAAAGAAAAATAACCTAAGTTAAGTCAGCTTTAACAGGAGCAGGCACAGCTTGCAGGATAAGACTGGCAATGGAATCCTTATCTTGCATGTCCCTGAAATGGTGATGGTGGTGGGGCGGCCAAGTAGTACTGCTGTTGAATTTGAGTTTGCGTGGCGGAGGATTTGTGCGGACTCCCAACAAGCACACTGGCTTCACTTTGATGGAGTTATTTCTGTAAATCAAAATTTGTCAGCGTGATGATCCAGTAAATATAAGAAAAACTCACCCGGAACTCTGGGACGTGATCTTGAGGCATCCGAGATCTTCTGTGATCTTGACAGTATCGGTGTTAAGACCATGCACAAAGGGTAGGACTGATTCTGAGGGGCTTGGCTTCAGCTCATGCACTGCGCCCCTTACCCGAGTATGTGCCCTTAATTTCAGATTGGTGTCCGAGGAAAGTCCGAAGACGTCCGAAGGACATCCAAAGGCGCGGGAAACTTCGGAAGGACTTTCTGGATGGGTGCAAGTAACTTCCGGATGAGTGCGGGAAAGTTCCGGAGGAACTTCCGGAAATTACGATGAGGTTTTGTCCTGATACGGATATGTATAATGGCTACTTGGGACTTGTCCTGAGTAGAAGTAAACAGAGGAAAGGCTGCAAGGACAAAGTCCGAAGCAGAATAGGTCCGGAGGACCGCAGGAAAGATCCGGATGAACTTCCGGAAACTACGGAGGATCGGATGAGCGGATGAGCGGAGTATCGGATAAGCAGAGCTCCAGCCTAGGGAGAAACTCCCTAGGCCTGAGATGGATAACAACTAAGTTGGAAGACTAGAACTGATATGAGGACTTAGAGTGAAGACTAGTGCGAGGACTAATATGATATTCAGACTGAGGTACTACAAGACATATACACGAGTTTATATACTAAGAGAAATAACGGAAGGATCAATAAGCAGAGTCTGAGGCTATGTATGAAGCATATGCAAAGGTTAACAAATGCGAGTTGGAAATGAACATAGGTTAATGGATCAGTAAGCATACCGGTAATAGATATAACCGAAACAGCGGAATAGAGGAAATACCAAATAGGCTGTGTATAACATTATAAGAACAGGAAATGAATTAGGAAGCTTATCTATATTGGATTGGAAGCGGATCTATACATCGGATCGGACCGGATCGGATATGGTCCGGATGAGATGCGTGGATATCTAGGATGTGGCATTAGGGCGATGGGACAAGGATGAATGATGCAGGCTAGCTGCGCAGGATAAGGGATCTGGACGTGGACATGCAGATGTGGATGTGCAGAGGTGCAGGGATCCGGATGGGTACTGGAGACATGGATAGCACATCCGAAGGTCCGGATGAGGCGTGGGAATATTATCGGATGTAAGTCTGGAATACGGGATATGACAATCGGCCGAGAACCTAGAAAGTTTAATGTTAGTGAATATGATGCGCAAGACCAACTCATATTTTGATTTTCTTGCTCTTGCGATAGGTCCTGTACATTGAGTTAGCAATCTATTTGTGAGAAGATCAGAACCAAAAGACACATCTTTTCCTTTTGTGATTGCCTGGTATCAATAACTCCACCTCGCTATTGGTATATTCCTCAATATGGACCATCTTGATGGGATCCATGAGCTAGATGATTAGTTTCTAAATCAAAGTCAGTAAGTAATATGAAAAGATCGAGATGACTCACCAATGGGCCCAGGTTCTCGGGCATAAACTTAATCTTGTAAGTCGGCCAACCGGTGTCTTGTTACTTAAGGGTCTTATATAGAAGTTGTGTATAATGACAACACAATTATACACAGTGAAGACTTCTTGTCACTCCTTAAGTCCATGGTCTCCGACTTTTCTACTTCATGGGAGGTAACGTGGTGAGTTCTTGGGAGGATTTAGTTTGTTGTCCTCTTCTTGTGTAGTCTTATATGAAGTGTTGTGGAATGTTCTGTGTTCTGGATAATTCGTTAGGTTTGTTTCAGCCTAGTAGGTCGTGTTTCAACCTATGAAAGTCTGTTTCAACTTTGTCGTCCTTAGATATGTGTCTCACTTTCCGTTGAAAGAGAGAGTCTTTTGTATACATGTAAAGCTTAAGGATGAGAGCTATTCAATGGTTATATAGTCAACCCCTGTAAGATATATATATATATAACCCAGAGTAGAATAACAATAACGAAAGTTATATAGTCAACCCCTATAAGGTAGTATATAACTTTAGAGTAGATAATGATATCTTAGATTACCTCAAGGCACTTATATTGGCCTGCACTTTAAGTCTTAGTGGTCTCACACGGTTTGAGATAAGAGTCAAGTGGGAGGATTGTATTTCATGGGTGAAAATGGGGTCCTTTTATACCTTTTGGGAACCCCCTTACTAAGCATGATTAATCAGATGGATTGGTAAGAATGTGGCTTACAAACCAGGTGATGAATCAGCTTATTACTAAGTACATTACAAATACAGTGTAATCTTACAAAGAAATTACAAACCATGACAAACCATGAGTGAATATGTTGAGTCATGTTAAATGTTGTTACAAAGCATGACCAATCATGACTAAACATGTTGAGTCAGCTTAAATAATGTTACAAACCAGAATATTTCCCAGTCACATGATGTGATGACAAATAAAATCTGGTGGCTGAAAGAAGCCAAATAAAAATAAACAGTCAGAAATAAATAGAGATACAAAACTTGGTGGCTAAAGGAAGCCAAATAACAATAAACAATGAGAAATAAACAGAAGGTCACATGCTTGATACAAATACAAGTTAAAAATAAGTTTGAAAAGTGAGAAATAAAATAGAAGACAATGAATCAAAGGAAAAATGGAGAAGTAACTCAGTGACAGAGGGCTAGACAGTCTCTCATATCTTCCTTATCACTCTCTATATATATCTGACATGGTATGAATCACATACCATGCATGACACTGGTTAGGAGATTCTCAATATCCATGACAATGACATTGTCATAGATAATGACCTGGTTGGTCCCATTAACGAGGATAGATTGGGTTGACATAGTAGTATATGATTATGAAAAAGATTAGTGGTATTGATAGGAAATGAATATGAGAAACATGTAGTCGTGTCTTTTTGCATCACCAGTATTTGCTGGCTGACTTCGAAAAGTCATGTGATGTTTGGAACCAAGATTTCAAACCAACAAACTACCAGAGACATTGACTATATACGCTTACTGACTTTTGGTATAGTCTTCCAATGTCCAAGTTGCTGTCTGCCCTCACTAACCCTAACCAAATACCGGAGATATTGACTATATACACCTGCCGACTTTTGGTACATTCTTCCAATGTCCAAGTTGCTATCTGCCCTCACTAACCCTGATGAACTACCAGAGATATTGACTATACACCCACTGACTTTTGGTACGTGTTTCTCAAGATGAGCTCCAGTCAAATCCTGACCCAGCTGAGATCTCTATCACAAGCCCCTCAACCTGCCGCGGCTGCTCCTCCAACAACTACTACATCATATCAATACCAAGCTTAGCCTGCATACACTTGCCAAGCTATGCAATCTGCATTTTCACCTCCAGAATCACAACACTCTTCCTCTACTACTTATACGTCTTATGCCTTGCTGTCCATCAATCAACTTAAATCTGAACCAGTCAACTCTGCATCTCTTTTATCGAGCGTGGGATGCATGTAAGTGATATCCTTACCTGCTCTGAGCTTCCAGCTCACTGACATCATTGTCTGAGATAGACAATGGCCACTGCCATGAAGCCCATCCCTGGCATGCTCAATGGACACTGTTTGCTCCAATGCAGCTCGCCCTGGTCATTCTCACCCGCTTACACCCACAAGATATGTGAGTCATTTCGTCTACCTATGTTGCATGGATTTTTGTTTCTTTTGATATCATACACATGTGCATCCGGACCTTTGCCTCCCGGTACCTATTATATTTCACTGTATTCTCTACAATATTGAATGTCAATTTCTAAATGAACGATGTTGCAGTGTGACTTGTGATTCAGAGACCGAAGGTCTATCTCCACCTTTAGCATCGAAGCCGCTTCCAATACTTACCTGTGGTGAATCATCTCATGACTCTTATCTTGCACAGGGACTAGAACTGTTGCATTCAAGTGAATCTATGGCAACTATAAAGGCCTCCAGAAATGCCCAGGTATGTCTATCCCCCTCCACATCCTCTATGTACTTATCTATATGGAAGACCTTGTCTGTCTAGGGTGCAGGAAGGTTTTCCTGTCCCAAAAGCGCTTGAGTGGTCACGAGGCCCAGTGTGAAGCCGACAAACTTCTAGATGCTGATGTCTACAAGAGTCAGTGTCACCTCGAGAAGGGGCATAAGAAGCATAGGAAGATGAGAGCTCGAGATGAGACCAGGTCTCCAGAACACAGGCAAAGGAACACCTCACCTGAAGCTGACATGCAGATGGACCTGGGTGATGACCATGTCAATACTGAGGTGATTTTTTTTAAATGTACTTGATTTGTATTATACTGATACAATAATTGTATAGTACGGTGATATTGCTGGACCCTTGGGATATATTCCAGAACTGGAACCTCCAGTGCCTACCCCAGACACACCTGCTGTTGTCTCTGCCCATTCTGGACAGCAAATACGGATGCCTGCGCGGTATATTGACTATATTCCAGGCTCATCAACTCATCTCACTCACATGCCCCCGATGAATCATCAGGAGCATGGATGACCCTCAAATCAACCTATCATCGAGGTCCAGCCTGAGCAACCACAGGCACCAGATAGTCCTGCCTCTGAAGACATCCCTCACCAGCCCCCCCTCATCCTATACCAAACATCCCCTGATGCGATGGGACTTTTCCATATATACCCTGCATGTCCCACCCTGATACCAAAGGGAGATGCAGGTCTTGACGCAGCTATTGACACTCCTACCTTGGATCATAACCTTGATCTTGAGAGTTCTCAGGTCATCACTGGTGTTCCTTCCCAAGAAATTGGGCCCAAGAATCTTTTTTCTCCTTTCAGTAGCCTGACAGCGGGGCTCCTCATGTGCTGGCAATACTCTGGGGTTAATTTCAAGTTGAATGCGGAGATGAATGATGATGTATGTGAGAAGAGGCTTATCAGTGCCTATCTCAAGGATTCAACTAACCCATTCCACACCGAAAATGGCTGGCGTGAGTCTACAGTCCAAATCTGCCTGCTGAAGGAGAAAATGAAGTGGGCATCAGAGGATGAAGCACCTGTGCTTGAGATACCTGGTGTCTACCACCACTCACTCACTGATGTCATTATGTCAGTCTTCCAGGATAGTGTCACCTCCACCTTTCACATGACACCCTTCCAACAGTAGGTGGAAGATGTCAGAGGAACACACTGTCAATGTCTATTCTGAGGCATACTTGTCCCCTGCTTTCTCAGAAGCTTATGAGGAGGTCAACTCTCTTCCTAGGGAACCTGATGATGACCTTGAATGCATTGTTGCCTCCCTCATGATGTAGTCGGACACTACACATCTTATGAACTTCAGTGACACTTCACTTTGGCCATTTTACTTGTTATTCAGCAATCAGTCTAGATACACCAGAGGGAAACTGACAGCATCTGCATGCCACCATGTGGCGTACATCCCATCTATAAGTCCTGTCTTATAACATGTCATCGGATACTTATCTTAACAGATCCCCAGTGACTTTCAAGACACCTATTTTAATATTTTCGCTGATGCATCCTCAACTGACGTCTATATGCATTGTAAGCGCAAGCTTATGCAGTCCATCTAGGCACTTCTCCTCGACGAGAAGTTTATGCATGCCTACAAATATGGTATTATCATTTGCTGCAGAAATGGGATCATATGGTGCGTATTTCCAGATTCTTCAGTTACTCCGCAGATTACCCTGAAAAGTAGGTTTCGTGATTGACCTTCATCAGATTGCAGTATCTAATTGAGTTCTACTATCAGGATCTTACTTGCATGTATAAAACTCCTTGGTGAATGCCCATGTCCATGGTGCCACATCAAGAAATCTGATATTCCTATGATGGGCATCAAACTCGATATGAAATGTCATGAGAGGACTCAGCAGACTGACAATGAACAACAATACCATCATGTTGAACAAGCACGAGCATTGATGTTTAAGCAGGGAGCTAGTATCAATAGTCAGTGTGTCCAGAATATCTTGAATGAAGAGTCTCTGGTCCCTACTCAGGTAAGTCATTCCTCATAAGATATTGGTTTTTAAGATGGATTTGTTAGTAGAATGCCTTCTCTGAGCGCCTCACAGAATACTTCTTCAATTTCTTTGTCTTATTCATAGTTGACATACTGCATGACTTCGAACTAGGGGTTTGGAAGGCTATATTTATTCATCTTATGTGTGTCCTTTTTGCGGCAGGTGGTGCTGCAGTTCAGGAGCTAAACTGGAGGTATGTACTTAGGGATTGTGGTCATACTTATGCTCATGCAGCTTTTTACAGATATCAAAGAGTACCTACACACCTGAAAATATTTGAATCATAAAGGCTACCAGGGATGCCAATAACATAATTGACAATATGGAGGTTGTGGGGTAAAATAACAACCTCAAAAAATGAGCAAGCTCAATAATCCTGTTCAACAAAAACTTGAGTCAACATACCTGAGCTGCAAGTGAGTAGTTCAAATATTTGTTGAAAAAGCCTTCCCCATGTCACACAGGCTTCTGAAACAAGTTAAATAAGGTGCCATCAACATAGAGGAACTCTCCCCCACCATTCTGAGTATGTTTCCCCTTCAAGCTACTGCTGTAACCTTTTTCATTCCTAGTGGATCAAAGTGGATCTTGTTGTCATGGTGCCTTAGGATGATGATCATAATATATTTGAAGCAGTTATACACCATTTTAATAGACACTCCCACTCATTCATCTAAATCCTCCATCATTGCAGCATTACCCTAGTGGCCTACCCCATTGAGGAAAACTGCGAGTTAGATTTTGATGAGGAGCTGTGGATTATGTGAGTTGTTGTAGAAAATTGGATGCGGCTCCAGATAGGCCACAAGATAGTCAAAGACGACAGATAGAACACAAAGCTTTTGGCAAAAATTTTCAGGAGCATACATCTTCCATTCTGGAAGGAGGTGCAGCTGTGGCACATGGGTAAGTTTAGATCTAGTATTCAGAATACAGCTCTTCTGTGCTTTATCATGCAGAGCATGGACTGCATCACTAAACTCTGTGAATGCTGGTGTGGCCATCTCTGGTCTATCAGATGAGAACTGAAATTATACATCAAGTGAGTGGAAAGTTGTAGCTGTGATGCCTGACATGAGTGAGTTCCAAGACATATCTAATGATATCAAAGAGATGAACATGCTGATAGACCTATTATCATCCAATGAGCTGTTTGAGTTGCTCTTGTTTTCAGAGTTAGGTTCTTTGAGGAGCTCATCAATTGTAGACTTCACAAGCTCCACATAATGAGCTATCACAAGATTGTCGTAAATATTTCTAAGGGCTTGAAATTGCTGTTTGTGACATGATAAGTGAGGCATGGTGGACTGATTTTATTAGTAATGTGTAAGCAACACAGAGATATAATGTGGAGTTTCAATAATATTATTATTGGATTTCTTACCTTTGCTTTGTGTTGGCATTTCTAAACTTTAAATACCACTATTACTTCAGAATAGGCAATAAGGTGATTCCAAAGCTCCATAAGCTAACAATAACTACATGCAACTGTTGGGAGGCTACCCTCAGGTCTCCAAAGTGGGGTCTTATATTTGAGCAGGCAGTGCATGTGACAAATGCACTTAATGCTGATCTGCAGGAGCCCAAATTGAACACAATCAAGGTATGAACTTAGCATTTTACTAGTCTAACAATGCTACTAACAATTGCTGCAGCCAAAATTAATATTAACTAAGACCTTTCAGGTGCTCAGAATCATTGTTTATTTGTATGCACTATGCTTTTTTGGACTTTTATTCATGTAATAGAATATAGATTGTTATTAATGTACCATATGACATATGTTTGTTCTTTGAAACTTATAAACCTATGGTGCTGATCTGGGTGGAATGACAGGCTATGAGCTTTTAGACTTTCTATATATCCAGCACTCACTTAAGGCACATCCATCCCTCACCTTATTATCATCCAAGGGTTCAACTGAGCAAGAAAGCATGAGCCTTGCTGACTACCTCTCACTGTAGGAAATCTTATTGCTTTAAGACTGCACTTACTAACACATGGGCCTATATTGATGAATCTGTTAAGACAATTGCATCTTCTAATGATAAGACTATTTGTCATGTCCAGCATGACTTATACATAGATCAATGGCTCTTGCGGCCAAAACACTCCAAATTAAATGCATAAAATGCATTCTGCTGGAAGAAAAATCAGACTGCAAACAAGAAAACAGTATTTTTTCATTTCTAATTCTTCTACACTGACTTGTTTCACACTACAGGTCCATCAGGGAAGGCAGTCTCATCAGACCTTATCCAGGAGAATTACACTGAGTATCATGAACTCTCTGATGATGTGAAAGCTAGCCTTTGAAGGAATATGAAGAGCATAAGGCCATAAAGATCAATGACATTAATGCAGACCCTCAAAGTCATTGAGAATGAGGTATGTGATCTATTTTATTTTATTTGAACAATATTAGCTAATAACAATTGTATAGTTAAATAGCTTAAGGTGCCAGATGAATGCAGAGATAATAATATATACAACTTATGGCTCCACTGATCTGCTACTCTATGGAATTGCCTATGTAACTGAAGGCATTCAAGATTTCATGAAGTCTATCATAAAATCAATAACCAAGACTTTGTTGCTAAGATAGAAGGTTTCACCATGAGTGGAATATGTGGTAACATTTTCCGCTGTACTTCATAAATATGCTACTAAATCTATTTAGGTGCAGCTAACAATAATCAACAATGTTGCTCTAAGATTCACAGCTCAATCTGACATGAAATCAATTAGAAGCTTTATGAGTTTTCTATTCACTCATCGACCATTCTATAGTCTCACTTATGTATTTCAGAGGAGGCCACTGGTGACCCAGATGTAAAGATGGAGTGGGCTTACTATTGGTATAACATTACCTAGTAATATTTTGTCATTTGTGAAGGATGGCCTGATGATATATTCTTTGAAAACCTTAGCAAAGTGTCTACCTCTGTACATCAGACCTCCATACCTCCGCAGCTAGCCTGCATCATTCATCCTTTGTCCTATCGCCCTAATGTCATATCCCGCATTCCGGACCAACATCCGATGATGTTCCCATGCCTCATCTGGACCTCCAGACCTCCTGTCTATGTCTCCAGACCCAATCCTCTATCCGACCGGATCCCTGTACTCCTGCATCTGATATTCACATCTCCAGATCTCTGGGTCTGACCTATGCTTCATATCCGAACCCAAACCTTAATTCATCGCTCATCCACTTATGGTAATCACCTGTCTCCGGACTTCCGAACATCCAGATCCAACCCACATCTATCTTTCGTGCCTTTTCCCTTTGTATGTTCCTACTCCAGTTAGACTATATCATTTTCCATACCTCATTTCATTTCCGCCTTTATTTTCCTCTGTTAGTCTGATTATTACACACATATAGTCCTCGCACTAGTCTTCACACTAAGTCCTCATATCAAGTCCTAGTCCTCCGACTTAGTCAATATCCATGTCAGGCCTAGGGAGGAATTCCCTAGGCCGGAGTTCCACTCCTCCACTCCTCCAAACCTTTGCTCCTCCACTCCTCTGTTCCTCCGCTCATCCAATCCTCCATTCCTCCGAGTTTCCGGAAGTTCCTCTGGAACTTTCCTGCGGTCCTCCGGACCTATTCTGCTTCGGACTTTGTCCTTGCAGCCTTTCCTCTGTTTGCTTCTACTCAGGACTTGTCCTGAGTAGCCATTACACATATCCGTACCAGGATGAAACCTCATGGTAATTTGCCTAAAAATGATGAAACAAAATCATAATGTTCTTGTAAATTTCCAACAGAGAAAACTGTAAACAAATTAAAATTTTGTGGTTTCAATGTCTTCATGATATATCAGGTGACAATTTTAGAATAATGTTCACCTTT